CCCACCCCACCCCCGTCTCTGGGAGCCTACCTGGGCCCGCCCGCCCTAGCTCAGGCGATCTGGCCCAGCTTCTCTCCCTGGTCAGTGGTGCCTGGGTCTTCTCCTGAATACTGTTCCCCTCCGCCCCTGCCTGGTCTCCTCTCCTCTCCTCTCCTCTCTCCTCTCCTCTCCTCTCCCAGGTTCCTCTCGATTAGGGAGGCAGGCTGGCTGTGGAGGGGCCAGGTGCCCAGTCGGCTAAGGTGTCAGATTTGACTGAAAAGCTACACAGAATGGCACTGGAGGTGGGGAGGTTGAGGTTGGGAGGCCCAGGCTGCTGTGGAGGAAAGAGGCCCACAGGCCCAGGGCCCCAAGTTGAGTCTTGGGGATCTGTTTGGAGGCGGCTGTGGAGCCCGAGGGGCTTCAGGTCCTAGCTTCCCCTCGCCGGGGAGGTGTGGCTGGGGCTGAGAGGCAGGGCAACAGGGAAGGAATCCAGAGGCCCGAGGGGCATCTGGCCAGCCCTCCAGGAGCTGCTTTCAGATGTGTGGTCCTCACCTGGACACGTTGAGAATTTAACTCTGGTGGCACTTTGGTCCAAAGGTGGTTTCGGGCACCTTTGGGGATAGGGGCTGGAGCTGTAGAGGGTGTGGGGGTTATTTTATGAATATAATAATAGAGCTGACTGGACAAGGACTGTGTGTGGGGACAGGGTGGACAGTACAGGGTGTCCGAGAGTGCCTGAGGGACAGGGGTCCTCACAGTGGCCTGGTGGGCCCATGGCAGGAGGAGGGCCACATTGGCTTCCCCAAAGCCAAAATAAGGTTGGAGAGGGCCGGGGTGGGGGGCAGGCAGCAGGTCTCCTTGGATGGGGCTGGGGTGCGGTCCAGGGAGCTTGGCTTTGACTCTCTGTTGCCAGAGGAGATGCCATCCTGGTGCAGTCCCCTCGGAGTCCAGTCCTGTGCTGGCAGTGGGTGCGGGGTGGGGGTGCCCGCCAACTCGAAGCAGGTAGAAGCAGGTGCGTCTAGGGCGAGTGGAGGGCTTCCTGTTGTCCTGCAGGCCAGCAGAGAGGGTGGCCGGGCTCAGAGGGCAGAGGGACCACAGGGTGGGGCTCCCGAGGTCAGGAGAGCAGGCTTTTCCTGGTCTGGATGGGATGGGGTTGGGTCTGAGTCTCAGCACCAGGCTGGAGCTCCTGGTAGTTCTGCAGGGAACCGGGATCCAAGTAGGGTTGTCAGGCAGGTCTGGGGAACCAAGGCAGCCCCTGGGTGGATGGAGCCCCCCAGGCTCCCAAGGGCAGACGGAGAATGGTATCTGTAAGTTGCTAGGTCTGAGAACAGCCTTGCTGAACGCTCCAGCCAACCGGAGAGCCCAGGTTAGGGTGCCTGGAGAGAGGGCCCAGGCGAGGGAGGGCCTGAAGAGGCCGGGAGGGCAGGTGGCCCATTGGGGAAGGCCCGGGATGGGGTTTACACTGCCCCTTCTCCGCAGGGCTGTGCTGGCGTTTACCTGGTGGGTGGAGGGAGTAAGATGCAGGATGTGTGATGTTAGCAGGGTAAGGGGTGGAGGGGTGGCTTGGGAGGCCCAAGGAGGGGGTGGGCATGGCAGAGCCACCCCGCCTCCAGGCTCAGGCCTCCTCCCAGCCACCCCAGGGCTGTACATAACTCCCCCATTCCCGTGAACACCTATCTATCTCCCATTTAGTGACCACCTCGTAGCCCCACCCCCTTGGGATCCGAGCCAACCATCCCGCATCACAAACTTTGGTTTGGGGGACTTCTTCGTGTTTTGTTTTTTTTTTTTCATTTGTACAGAGAAATATTCTTTTCAAAAGCGTCTTTTGACTGAAGTAACTTTTCTGGTGCTGTTGTTAACTTGTTCCTTTTTTTAATTTATTTCCCCATCCGGGTCTCCCCTCCTGGTTCCTACTCACCCTTTCTTCCCTCCACCCCTCCCCCCATCCCATCTGACCCATTTTGTTTTTCTTTTCTTTCTGTCCGTTTTTGGATAAATTCTCCTCGCCTCCCTGCCCCTTCCACCTCCCCCCCCCCTTGATTGAAATAGTCACTGCTACGAGTAACAAATGCACTGTGAAGACTCCAGTATTAATAAAGTTGTACTGTAATTAACAGCCCTGCCTCCGCCTGGCTCCCTGCACCGCTGCTCCCGGCCTGGGGAGCACGGGGTCCGTGTTGCAGGGGCAGGAGGGGCCGGGTCTTGTGCCAGCACCCATGCTTTTGAACACCTCCACTCTGTCCTGGCCCCGTGGAGCCAGGGAGGGCGACCAGGGGACACGGAGGAAGACCTCCCTGACCCCCTGTACCCCTCGGTCTGGCTCGCTGAGGCCCCAGCCGCTAGGGCAGGCCTGGAAGAAACTCAGGCCCTCAAATACCGTTTCCAGGCCGCCAGGTAAGGCTTCATCCATTCCAAATCCCAGTCTTGAGACCCAAGCCCCAGGGCCCGACCAGCCCACCCCTGCTCCTGCATCCTACCCTTGACCAGCTGGAACTGGAACTTGGAGGCTCGCTGCCCTCTGGGGTTCACCTTTGCAGACGCAAACCAAACCAAAACAAGCAAGTGTTTAATAGAAAATATAAGAGGAACTGGAAGAGCATCCACTGTGGCAAGACGTGGTGTGTGGCTTCCTGCCCTCTCCCCATGCTCACCCCCCACCCCCCCACCCGGCACAGTTTTCACCTCTGCAGGCCACGGGAGACGCTCAGCGCCGCCTCCAGGCAAGGGAGGCAGTCCAGGTGGTGCAGGAAGGGGGAAGAGAACTCTGTCCACGTTCAGGTGCCCCCAGGCCCCCGCTGCTCCAGGTGAGACCAGGTGAGGTACAGAATGCGGGAAGCCGAACCCTTCTCAGGCACAGAATCCCCTCAAAGGAAAAACACTCTCCTGGGGGGGTTGGGGGGGGCTCCTCACCACTGCCCAGATAAGTCTCAGGCTCAACCAAACTGCGGGAGAACCTCCCGCTGCCCCACACAGGCTGCTCGGGCCAAGAGGCCTCGGCCTGTGCCCTCAGCAGCTTCACTGAGCCGGGGGTCCGGGCGTGGATCCCGGGGAGTGGGGCAGGGAGATAGGGGGCCTCTGGGACAGAGGGTATAGCCGGGTAGCCACGCACTGTGATGAGGGCTCTGGGCTGTGGGGCTGAGAGCTCTGCACCTCACAGTCCTGCCAATTTAGGACGGAACTTTGTTTACCTGCAGGAAACAGAAAAAAAAGACTGCAGGAGTGGTCAACAGCCCCCCTCATTCCCAGACCAAGCCCCATTGTTCTTGTCCCTGTACCTGGGGCCCATCTTGGCTTTCCGAAATGCCCTATAGCCCTGGGGAGTGGAGGGCATGCCCCGGAGGGTCCTGGTCTGCTCAGTGACCCTGCGTCTGAAGCCCGGTGTCCTGCCCCCAGCCCCCCGCTACTTGTTCCTTACAGCAAGAACAGTACAGCAGTTCCATGACCCGGAAGCAGTTGTCCAGGAGGGCTTTGGGTCGCACCAGCTTCAGGCTTAGCCTCGGGCCACTCAGGAGTGACACTACCGCTTCCACCTTGGGGCCGACCTCCACATCCTGGAAGGGAGGAGACTGTCAGGACCATGGGTGCCACCCACCCCCAACCCCAGTGAAGAGGCAGGGCCATATCCCAGGAGAAGCCTGGAAACTGCCCTGCGTGGAGATGCACAAACCATGAGGCAGGGGACTGTGACCAGGGGGCCTATGGGTAATTTCTCTCCTCCTCCCTGCAGGCACCAAGTTACCTGGGAGGGTCCCCCTCAACAACCCTCACCCAAGCCCATCATCACAGAGGCTCTTCTTTTTCCATCTTTGGAAAAATGATTGTAGGGGGCATCCTTGCTCTTCTAGCCCAGGCCCGGCCACCCGCACACAAGGAGTCCTGGGCCCGGGAGACTGTCCTTCAGGATTCAAAGATCTCCACTGCCTGCAGGGAACAAGACAAAGGACCCGTGAGGGCCGTATCATGAGGACACCTGGGTGCCAGGCACCCCGGGCCGGGCCGGGCCAGTCTCCAGCTCCAAACTCAGGGTGCTTCTCTCCATAGTACTTAACAACGGGGCACGGTGCGGGGAGCAGGCAGGCACACTTGGGGGACGGAGCAGGGGGCCAGAGCTGGTGCAGGAGACATGGCCTAGAAAGGAAATGTGGGGCCTGAGCCAAGCAAAGACCTTCCTAAAGGGAGCGTACTGGGTTAAACTGTCTGTCCCCTTAATCCCCCCTCCAAAAGAACTACATCCAGCCCTGGGACCTGTGAACATGACCCTATTTGGAAATAGGACATTTGCAGATGTAATTAAGGATCTCCAGATGAGATCAGTTTGAATGTAGGGTGTGCCCTAAATCCAATGACTGGCATCCTTATAAGAGGCGATGCTAGAGGGAAAGGCCATGTGAGGGTGGAGGGAGAGGTTGGAGTGACATGGCCACAAGCCAACAAGAGTAGCAGCCAGCAGAAGCGGGGAAGAAACAGGAAGGGTCCCTGCTCCCTAGAACCTTCGGAAACAGCGTGGCCTTGCTGATATACCCTGGGTGCAGGGTTTCCGGCTCCAGGTCTGCGGCAAGAGAATTTCCATATTCCGCCACCAGTAAGTGGTCATTTCTCACAACAACCCAAAAAAGCCAGTCTACAAAGGCTTGGAAAGAGAAGCGAGTGTGGCAGGAGGGAGAAGGGGCCTGTCCCGTGGCCCACTCCCTGGCAGGGAGAACCCACTGCGCACCAGATGCTGGGCATATTTGGAGCGGGGCACAGACCATTAACTCTGAGAAAGAAGACAAGACTTAAAGCTGGTTAAATCTGCACCACGTGGGCAGCTCCCAAGAGCTCAGAGTCGGGCTCTCACCAGGAAAACCAAGGATGCAAAACTGTCTCTTCAGGTCAGCTCCAACTCCCATTGCCCATGGGCACGAAAGCGCCACCAAGGAGACCACTGGGCCTCCGCCCAAGCCAGAGCCTCCCCAGAACTCCCAGCAGCCGTGGGACCCTAGTGTCCCCCGCAGCTCCCAGCTCTGACTGGGCAGCGGGGGGGGCTCCCCGGGGAAGGCTCCTACTACGGGAGTAGGGCAAAATGGGAGTGTGGGGAGGGGTCCTGCAGTACCCCCATGGCCTGCAGGGGCTCACACTAATCTGTGAGTTTACTCTGCAGGCTTTTTAGAGGACACATCCCTGAGGCCTCAGATCAATCCTATGGGGCAGGCAATGATCAGGAACCTCTATTATTATTATTACTATTTTATTATTTTTATTTTATTATTATTACTTGAAGTCCATAGTTCACTCTGTGCTGTACATGCGATGGACTTTGACACGAACAGGATATTACAGTGTCCTGGAGAAGCACTTCATTATACTCTAAAAACCTCCTGTGTTCATCCTTCCACCTATTCATACTTCCTCCCCTCTCCCCCAAAAAAGAAACCTCCAGAAACAAAGCCACAGGGTTCAATGACTTACCTGGGATCCAGAGCAAGAGAGACAGAGCCCAGAGTATCCCCTGCCCCCAGCCCAGGCCACCCACTGGGCACTGGCCATCTCTTCCTCTCAATCATTTTTCCTACACCTTTCAGGACGTGCTGAAACTTTCCATGTGTTCAAATCCTCCCTCAACCATCCTTGGCCACCGTGCACCCATGCGCACACCCCACCTCACACACACACACACACACACCCCCCGCCCGCAGCTGAGCACAGCTCACCCTGAGGCTTTCCTGCACGTCCAGCAGCAGCGTATGGACCTCCTCCAGGTACTTCCAGGATGGGTGGCCCTCGAGCAGCACTTCCTGCACCGACTCAGTAGCGCTGAGGCTCACCCAGACCCACAGGTACCGCAGCTCCTGCTGGCTGACCCGGGCCTTCTGCTGTGGGGACAGGAGACATCACTGAAGCCCACAGACACGGGTCTCTGGGCCCTCCCTGCCACTGCTCTGACCACCCCCCACCCAACGTGGCCCCACAAAGAGAGCAGAGCATGGGCATCCACGGTGGCCAGGGAGCAACCTTGGGCCTCAGCCGAGGGCAGGCTTGCTCATGGAGCTGGGAAATGCCCCCTGGCAGCAGGACCTGCCAAGACCAATGTGCCTCTCAGGCTGGGTCCATGGGGTGTCCCAGGAGGCAGGGGTCTCCCAGCCCAGGAGGGGATTCTCACCAGCCTGGTGATGTTGGCCCTTCTGAGCACCCCCTCATAAGGCACGCTGACCCTGTAGTTGATGGGGAAGTAGTGTTTCTGGGGAAGTACAAGAAGAAACCATGAGGTCAGAGTCAGAAATGGCTCAGGCTCCCCCAGCTCCCAGACAGTCTGATGTAGGAGAGGGCCAAGGACCAGCCCTTTGATACCAGAGGTGGCCTTCTAGAGAGAATATGCACCCAGCTCCCCACGGGAATAACGACAGCTCTCTTTCCTCTGGGGCACAGAGAAGGCTGAAACCAAACGTGGAGTTCCTATGATGGCAGAAATTTCATGCCAAGAAGTGGTTGAGGGACCTGCTACCCCCAGAGTAGTATATTCTTTGGAGGTGAGGAAGACTACCTTAAGTAAGATTACTCTAAACTTATTATGGTGCTGGTTGCAGAACTCTGCCAATAGGGGCACCTGGGTGGCTCAGTCGCTGAGCATCTGCCTTCGGCTCAGGTCATGGTCCCAGGGTCCTGGGATCGAGCCCCGCATCTGGCTCCCTGCTCTGCAGGAAGCCTGCTTCTCCCTCTCCCACTCCCCCCTCCTTGTGTTCCTACTCTCCCTGTGTCTCTGTCAAATAAATAAAATCTTAAAAAAAAAAACAAAACAAAAACTCTGCCAATAGACTGAAAACCACGGAGTTGTACACTTAAACAGGTGAATAGTACGGTATGTGAAGGACATCTCAGTAAAGCTGTCAAAAAAAGAAAAAAGTCTTCCAGAGCCACAGTGGCCCATGGGCTTCTCTACCCTACACAAAGGGGTGCACATTCCAACTTCTAGGTTCTTATCTGCCCAGTGGTAATAAGTGCCTGGGGTTCCCCCCAAGGCTTTCTGGAATCCACTCCTGAGTCACAGGGTGAGCGCCATGGAGAGGCAGGATCAAAGGTCAGATCAAGTAGCAGGGGTGGGGGGCCCTGGGGACGGCCAGCAGGGAGGGCACGGTTGGTGCGGGCCAGGCGGAGAAAGGGGCCCTGGGCTCAGGGCTGACACGGAGCCAGGGCGGGGCCCGGGGGCCTACACCCTGTGAGCCCGGGAGCTTGGGCAGGGGACACAGCGGGTACCCACGGTTACCATGTACTGCAGACGGTTCCTATACTGCAGCTTGTCCCGCAGAAAGCCAGTGACGGCGCACTCCTCGGTCTGAGTCAAGGGCCACATCTCCAAACCCCCGTTCCCCAAGGCCATGCCAAGGAGGATCCCGAGATCTGTGGGCCGAACCCAACAGCAACACATGAGCACCCCGCGCCACCCCCACGCCGCCTGGGTGTGCAAAGCTGTGCGCGTGTGCCCTCCCTTTTCCCAGCCATGGGAGGGGCGGAGGCGCGGAGCGCTGGGGAGGCCTTCCCCCCACCAGGGTCCAGGCTCACACAGCTAGGCCAGGCGAGCACGAGCAGTCCGGCCAGTGCAGCCCTGCCCCCAGCCAGCAGAGCCCGCCCCGCAGTCCCATCCTGAGGTTGGTGTCCAGTCTCCTCCCCACTCCTGCCCCATGGGGCAGGCACAACCTCCTTTCCAGGGCAACCTCGGCCCCCACCCCCTTTAGGGCTGGAGTGTCCTCAAAGCCTGGGTCTGCATTTCCATCTGGGGATTCAGGAGTTCTGGATGCTCGTTCCCACTCTACAAATGACTCTTGAGTGACCGGAGCCAATTGCCTCCCTGCTGTAACTGATCTTGGCTTCCCCCTCAGATGTACAAATCATTGCAGCCCTTCCAATGCGCTCACTCTGGGGAAGCCAGCCAAGCTCAGGCTGCCGCTGCTCCCTCCCAGCGAACGAGCTGCCGCCTTCCGAACATTACCAGCTTTCACCACTGGGGGTCACTGTGACTTCAAAAACAGCTTTTGTGATTTCCCGTAACTGAACACACTTACAAAAAATACCTGAGGAGGGGCACCTGTGTGGCTCAGTCGTTAACCGTCTGCCTTTAGCTCAGGCCATGATCCCAGCGTCCTGGGATCAAGCCTCGTATCGGGCTCCCTGCTAAGTGGGGAGCCTGCTTCTCCCTCTCCCACTCCCCCTGCTTGTGTATCTCTCTCTGTCAAATAAATAAATAATCTTTAAAAAAAAAAAAACCTGAGGAGTTGCAAAAAATATGAACAAGCATCAAACTCATCAGAGCAGAAAGAAAACATAGATGGACAGGAGATGTATCCAACAAAAATCAAACTCACCAATAAAGGTAAATATATATATATTAAAACAATCAGATGCCATGGTTCACTTATCAAAAATGGAAATTGGGTGGTGGTGTTTTTTTAATTTCATTTTATGACACTTGGTGCCAGCGAAGTAGTGAGGCTCTTATCCTGGAAAGCAATTTGGCAATTTTTATTATTTTTATTATTAGTGGACTTAATAATGTCCACACCCTTTGACCCAATAAGCCTTGAAAATTTTCACATCCTTTGACCTACTGGAGCACCTGGGTGGCGCAGTCTTACTCTTGGTTTCAGCTCAGTTCCTGATCTCAGGGCTGTGAGATCAAGCCCAGCATCAGGCTCCATACTCATCAGGGAGTCGGCTTGGGACTCTCTCTCCCTCTCCCTCTGCCCCTCCCCACCCCTCACTCTCTCTCTCAAATAAATAATCTTTAAAAAATATTAATAAACAGGGGCGCCTGAGTGGCTCAGTTGGTTAAGCATCTGCCTTCGGCTCAGGTCATGATCCCAGGGTCCTGGGATCGAGCCCCGCATCGGGCTCCCTGCTCAGCGGGGAGCCTGCGTCTCCCTCTCCCTCTGCCTGCCGCTCCCCTGCTTGTGCTCCCTGTCAAATAAATAAAATCTTTAAAAAAAAATAGTTTAAAAAAAATAATAATTTTTCACATTCTTTGATCCACTGAACTCATTTTTAGGCATAAGCCTGAAGGAAAACAAGAGCCATCACCAAAAGATTCGTGGACAAAGAGTCCTGTAGCAGAATTCTCTTATACGAATAACAATCTGTAAACGGCCCACATGTTCATTAATGAATGTAGCCAATAAAAACCACATTGTCAAAGAATGCGTATGGTATGCTTATGTGATAAGAGAAGTACTCATGATATGCTTAGTAAAGTCTTAAAAAGCATGACTCAACACCTCTCCTCTGGGCGCACAGCGGGACGTGAATTACCCATGTCTGCATGTGCACGGGAAACGCGGTGCGAGTGGTAGAAGGAAAGGCACCAAATCTCTGTGGGAGATTTTTACGTTCTTTGTATTTTGTAGGACATACTTTATACTCTACAATCAATACAATCAATATCCAAATTACTGTCACAGTCAAAAGCAATAATTTGTTTTTGCTTTTCTTTTCTTTCCTTTTTTTTTCCCCCTCCCAAAAATACCCAGGCAAGCCATTATCTCCTTGCCCCACCCCCGGTTCCCAGTAGGCGTTACTGACCTGACTTTCTCCCTCACCTCCCTGGAACTTAGGGAGACTTCTGTTCTTACTCCCTCACTGGCCTGGGCCTGCTCCTGGGCACCTCTCCTCCTCCTCCGCCCTGCTGCCGGGCCTTTGCTCTGGCTGGACTCTCACCCGGAGCGCGCTAGGCGGCCTCAAGCCCTGTTCGAGGAGGACGAGGAGGACGCGCTGCAGCCCACAAGCCCTTCCTCCCAGAGAAGAGCTATTTTTCAAGTTTGCAAATTTGCAACCCATCTTGCATTTCCTCTCTCTTGTCTCTTCCCAAGCGCTTGCCCCCGGTATTTGGACAAAAGAACAGATAAACAGATACTGAGCCAGTGTTTCTGCCTGCTTCCTATCTTGTCTCTAAGTCATTAAGCTCCTCAGCTTGGCACCCCTGCAGACCGAGATCATTCCCGGTTTACAGTTTTTGCTCACACTTTGCCTTGGCCCTCGGTATCCTCTGGCATGGCAGACCTCTTTCAAGGCCTCACCAAGACTCCTTCCCCCACCCCCCACCAGGCTCTCCCCTGCCTGAACCAGCCCCCACAGTCTCGTCTCTAGCACCATCTGTCCACCTCACTCATTATCTAGACCGGACAACTTGGCCCCTAGTGAGTCCCTAATGCAGCGAACCACAGCATGGTCTTGTTTACTGAGCACTTTGGGGGTTCATCTTGAACAAGGAATCAGGAGCATGCATCTGAATCTTCTGGAAAGCTGGTTAAGGCCCAGAGTGTCTGATTCAGGAAGTCTGGGGTGGGCCCAGAGAGTCTGTATTTCTAGCAAGTTCCCAGGTGCTACTGCTGCTGCTGGTCTGGGGACTACACTTTGAGAACCACTGACCTCCAGAGACTGTTGCAAACTGGTGTCCCAAGGGCCACAGCTGGTTCACAGAGATTTCACATAAAAATCTGAATTTGCAACTTGTCTTCAAAAGTCAGTATCTCTGTCCACACTTGGCCTTCCTTCCCGTGGGGCAGTCACCCCTGCCTGCCCATGTGACCCCTGAAGTCCTACCCTCGCTGCCCTCACCCCTGTCCTGACAACTTTGGCTCCTAGCAGGGAACGAGTCATAGAAAGCCACCACGTGCCAGCCTGGCACGCATGGGCTCTCCCAGGAACCTTGTCCGTGGGTCATCTGCCTTCCCCCAGACCCAGACTTCCTTTAGCTCTGCAGACTGACCACCAACTCCAAATTTAAGCCCCTTTTCAGCTGCCTCCACCCCAAGAAACAGGCCAGCAAGCCGGTGACCATGGGGCCAGCACAGCTGCAGCCTCACAGTGGCTCTGCTCAGAGAGCCCGACAGCAGTGCACCCCCGACCCTGGAAGGGCGCCACTCTTGCCCCCTCGCCCTCCCGAAAGAAGACACCTCCAAGACAGAAGAGGAGGCTGAAGAAAGAGCAAGTGAGGAAGGAGCTCCCTTCCCGGGTCCCTGGCTGGGAGGGGGAGGGGCTGCACCTGTCCTGGGGACAGCCCCCTTGTGCAGGGACAAATGGGGCTTGTTCACCACCCCACCCGCAGTGACTGAATCTAAACCTGTGCAGAGGGTTGAACAGCATCCCCCTGAAAATCCTTGTTCGCCCAGAGCTTCACATGTGACCTTATTTGGAAATGGGGTCTTTGCAGATGACATCAAGGCCCACCCTAAATCCAGTGACCAGGTGTCCTCATAAGAGAAGGAGAGGACACAGAGACATGCAGAGAGTGTCAGGAGGAGACAGACACAGACCGGGGCGATGACACCACAAACCATGGACTGCCAGGTGCCAATAGAAGCAGGAAGAGGCAGAAAGGAGCCTCCCCTAGAGCTTCGGAGGGGGCGTGGCCCTGCCCACACCTTAATTTTAGACTTCTGGCCTCCAGACCTGGGACAGAATAATCTGCTGTTTTAAGTCACCGAGTTTGTGGCAATTTGTTATGGCAGCCCATCCTTCCCCAGCACCCAGCCCCTTTACGAGTCCCTGACCTGCAGCTCTCCCTGCCTCCCTCCCCACAGCCCATCCTTGCCAGCGCCTGCAGTCAGCCTCCACCATGCCTTCCGTTCCGGCCCCACGTCCATCTCTGGAACAGACCCTCATCACTTCCTGCCCAAAAGGTTGCAACAGCACGGCCGGCAAGTAGCACAGACTGATCTTCCGAAAGTAGAGTAACTCCCAGTCACAACCCCATCCCCAGATCTTGAACCTTCCAGAGCTCCCTGCTGTCTCATGAACTGGCCTTTACGACCTCCACCACCTGAGCCCAAACTGGCTTTCCAGCTTGGCCTCTCACGGCCCCACTGCTGAACCTTTGCTCATGCTGTTCCCTCTACCTGGGACACTGTCCTCACCTTCCCACCTTCCAAACCATTTCAAGTGGCTCCTCACCCATATTGCCCCTCTTGCTCCTCGTGACCTGGAAGCTTCCAGAACACTGGGTCTGGTCCTTCTGCCTGTTCTGAATGCCCTGATCCTTTGCAGTCTCCCTCCACAAGGGCCAGCCTGGATCCCTTGCAGGATCAAACCCCAGACCTCATCCATGAGGCACACAGTTCCTAACGCCTAACTCGGTGCCAGGCATCGGAGAGAGGGGCGCGAGCTAGCCCAGTCCTTGTTGCCATGGCAGTAACTCTCCAGTGGGCATGTGGGAGGCACCAGAAAAATGTGCTGAATTTGAGTCAATTCAATAGAATCTTGGAGTCTGAAGGGATCTTGGTCTGGCCTCCCACCAGCAGACTTGAGAGGCTTCTAGACGCTTTCTGTCCTCATTTCAACTTATTTTTCTTTTTACCAACAACACTGTTCTCTTTCTGCCTCTTAATTTTGTTCTATCATGGAGGGAGGGGCAGAGGAACAGGCTGCCTTCTCCGGCACCTGGTGGCACTTCTGCCATGTGTCTTGGGGCCCACTTTCACGAGCTCCCACCCCCGGCCGGCCACGCCCAGGGAGGCCAGAAATCCTCTCTGCCACCTCTGCCCCACGCCTGCCCGTGCACCCCAGCACTGGTGAGCCTGCGAAGGTGGTGCTGCCCCTTGCCCCCAGTGCCTGCCCCATCCCCTTGATGCCAACCCAGCCTAGGACTCGTACCCCGCATGCGGGTCTGAGCTGGGGTTGGCTAGGGCCAGGGCAGAGGGTGGCCATGGGAGTCCTCAGGCTGTTAAGCTGGGAAGCATCTCAACTTCTCACTGGCAGGAATGGCCCTGCTGCCATGGTTACAGCAGAGCCTGGCTCTGGGCCAAGGCCTCCAAGGGCCGTCTCCACAGCCCCCCCCCTCCCCAGTACTCACAGCGCAGCCAGGCGATTCCCCGGGGCATGGTGTTACGCTGTGTCCCCCAGAGAGCAGAGGCGGTGTCCCCAGCCGTGTGTCTATCCACAAAGGCCCAGGTGGGGCCTACATGGCCGCGGGCCAGCGAAGGTGGCCCAAGGCTGGGCAAGGGCTGGCCACAGAGCAGCAGCCCGGCGGGGGCGCGGCAGGTGCTCCTGGGTCAGTGCCCGCCCTTATCTGCCTGGCCGTGTGGAGGGCAGCCGGGGGGCGGCAGCGGCCAGTCCCATGGCAGCCGGGACCTGGCCTGAGACTCCGGCCTCGGGGTCTTCCCTCTCAAGCAGGAGGACAGAGTCCCCAGCAGGCCCCTCGGAATCTGGGGCCGGGTTGTGCTTTCTCTGATTTCTCCGTCTGCAGCTGCTCAGTGTGAGATCTGGCTCTGGAGGGAGAAAGGAGGAGAGAAACGGGTTATGTAAGAACAGTGCTGCCACTCAGCTATCAGCCACCGGCACGGAGAGTCTGTGCGCGCTGCACCCACTGCCGGCAGGGGCCCCGGGGAGAGACCAGGGGCCGGCTACTCGACCGCGCACGGGGAAGGACTTCAGAACATCCCAAGGGCCGCGCCGGTCCGGGGTGAGTCACGATGACACCAGCTGACAGCCACGGGCCTCGACAAAAGCAGGACCAAGGGATGAATGGCTGAACATGTCCAATCAAGGAAGCTTCCTGAATGAGGTGAGGCTGCATGCAGGTCAAGTACCTGGATGACTCAGGCTGCCAGGACATTAAAACAGCAGCTCTCTTGGTGGCTTCCTCTTGCACAAATTTCCCGGAAAGTGCTGAGTACTTCGAATACTGAGTACTTTGAGTACTGAGCCCACCACACATCCTGGACCCCCAGACCCTGACGGAGAAGCCAAGAAAGTAAGAAATGGGGTCAGGGTCACCTTCATGGTGGTTCTAGCCCTCGAGCCCCTCCAAAATGGAGGAAATGTGTGAAAGCTGAGGAAGACACCCAGCGGGAGTGACCTGGTGACACAGGAGCTAGAGCCTTTGGGGTGGCACAGAGAAAACCAGGCTGCTCCCAGAGGCCTGGAAACAGGGCCCCTCCCCGGCAAATGAGGCCAGACCAGTGGCCTGACAGCCGTCTGCCTCAGAGAGTGGCCTTCCCCACAACTGAGAGGGCACCCTCTCTTCCTCTCTCTCTCTCTCCCCGCTCTCTCATGGGGGAGGGTGAGGAGATTGAGAACGTGCCTCTCCCATGCCACCCCTAGTCTACCCCATGGCTGAGAGCAGGCATGAGGAAGCTCACACAGTGAACAGGTGTGCAAGAAAGTAGATGCTAGAATGTTCTGCATAGTTCAGTTGTGAATACTGTGTTTTAAAAATATATAATCACGGGACGCCTGGGTGGCTCAGTCAGTTAAGCGGCTGCCTTCGGCCCGGGTCATGATCCCAGGGTCCTGGGATCGAGTGCCACATTGGGCTCCTTGCTCAGCAGGGAGCCTGCTTCTCCCTGTCTCCCTCTGCTTGTGTTCTGTCAGATAAATAAAATCTTTAAAAAATATATATATATATAATCACATTACTATTATTGCACATTCCCAAATCAAGAATTCCTTGTATCACCTAATACAGAATCCATGTTCGATTTTCCCCAGTTGTTTTTAAAATGTCTTTTTTTTTTCTTAAGTTGCTTTGTTTGAATCGAGAGCCTAACAAAGTCCATTGGTTGATGTGTCTCTACATCTTTTTTCCTTTCTTTTTTTTAATATTAAGATATAATTCACATGCCATAAAATTTGCTTTTTTTTTTTTTAAGGAAACTGGTGTTTTTTGGTTTTTTTTAAAGATTTTATTTATTTATTTGAGAGAGAATGAGAGACAGAGAGCAGGAGAGGGGGAGGGTCAGAGGCAGAAGCAGACTCCCTGCCGAGCAGGGAGCCCGATGCGGGACTCGATCCAGGGACTCCAGGATCATGACCTGAGCCGAAGGCAGTCGCTTAACCAACTGAGCCACCCAGGCGCCCAAAATTTGCCATTTTAAAGTGTATAATTCAGTGGGATTTTTTTTTTTAATAGATTCACAAAGTTGTGCAACAATCACCCACAATCTAATTCCAGAACATCTTCATCACCCCCAAAATAAACTGTATTCATTTGCAGTCTCTGTTTATTTCCTCCCCCCACCCAACCCCTGGGGCAAGCAACCACTCATTTGCTTTCTGTCTCTATGGATTTGCTTCGCCTGGACGTTTCCTATCAATGGAGTCATACAGTATGTGGTCCTTCAGGACTGACTTCTTTCACTTAGCGTAATGTTTTCAGGGTTCATTCATCTTGTACCGTGCAATAAACTTAATGTGTCCCCCTAAGTTCCTATGTTGAAGCCCTAGCCCCCAGTGTGATGGGAGATGGGACTTTTGGGAGGTAATTAGGGTTAGATGAGATCAGAAGGGTGGGGCCCTTGTGATGGGATTTGTGACTTTATAAGAAGAGCCACCAGAGAGAGAGCTTGCTCGCTCTCTCTGCGTGCCCCCACAGACAAGAGGTCATGTGAGCACAAAAACGAGAAGGCGACCACCTGCAATTCAAGGAGAGAGTCCACACCAGAAACCAACCATGCTGGTACCCTGATCTCAGACCTCCAGCCTCTGGAACTGTGAGCAAGTAACTTTCTGTTCTTTAAGCTACCCATCTATGGCATTTTATTATGGCAGCC